TTGGTGGCGGTAGAAATCGTTGCTATTATCCAAATAATACTCAAAACAATTAAAGCATAATCATGAATCAGTAAAGAATAAAACAACAATACAGCGCAGAATCGCATTCCCCGGACGCACTCTTAGTGAACAAGTTTTCCTCCATTAGTGGAAAAGGAAGGGCGCCTTTTGCGTCTGGATATACTTAGCAACAGAAGGGCGCCCTGTACGTTGGGCACGAAGTATGAAACTTGCATGGTTAAAAAGAAGGGCGCCGCCTACGTTGGGCACGACTTCCGCCTCATTTTCACAATGCGAGAACTCTATCTTGTATTTCTAGTATCTTTGCTAATGGAGGAAAACTGTTTCACTAAGAGTGCGTCCGGCCATGCGATTCTGCGCTGTATTGTTGTTTTATTCTTTACTGATTCATGATTATGCTTTAATTGTTTTGTGTATTATTTGGATAATAGCAACGATTTCTACCGCCACCCAAGGAGGTTATGTATTCACCGATGTCACTGTCTGAGTGTCTATTCCAGTTTGTTTTTATATCTAGTATCTTTGTTCAGAATTGGTAATAAAATACGCGACGACTTGGTAACGAAAGTTTTTTTAGATCCAGCTGTAGGGGGCGTACCATTTTTCGTATTCCCACCATGCATTTCGGTGGAACACGGTGGAACACTTTTTTTGTGTGGAGAACTCTATCTTGTATTTCTAGTATCTTTGGCAGAGCTGTGTGTGTGTATCCTCCAAGATGGCTGCCATAGATTCAGCCAATCAAATTTCGCCTAAGCGCTAACATTTTCAATGGCGCCCTCAATTTACACAGAAAGGTCAGTACAGCTAGTTACCCGTATGTTTGAAACTCGAGCGTTGCGGTGTGTTGGTGTAATGTACACGATTTTAATTTTTGTGTTATTTTTGAATAAGATGCTCTACTTGGCCTCTTTATGGCTAAGATAGTTTAATAATTTGTTATTATCAATACTTATTATCATTAATGAAATAATAGTCAGTCAGAGAGCTTATTTATGGTAATAATATGTATAGTAAGCCTGAAGGTGGCGCTTTTCTACGGCAGCCATCTTGGATGGTACACATACACAACTATGCATTGCTTCGCCATTTTGTCAGCGACTCAGCACTCTAGTGTTGTTGTTTAATAGCTCTATGGACGGATCACATGTCATTCTGCTGATTATAGACTCCATGATCATTGATGGGCAGTGTAGGCCTACCTCAACATTAACAAGGATGAAAATGAAAGAACTAGGCCTGTTCGCTTACGTTTTTGTTGTGTTATTACTGGTAATTCATTGCAAAGGTAAAACTATTCATTTTAAATAAGTTATAATTTCTGGAGTGGTAGTCTAGGGGTAGCCGATCATTTCGATCGCCCTTCGTTTCGGTCGCGCCTCATTTCGGTCGCGATTTTTCGAACAAATATAGGTAGGCCTAGGCCTATGTTAAAAAAAAAATTAAATTTGATTGGATGTCCACAATACTGATATCACAAATTCTACCAAGTGTTATAACATTAAAAATGTTTACAAAATTAAATTTGGTTGTATGGTTGATTTTTAATGATTTTTTAAAATATTTAATTATGGCGAAAATTTTGCTACAGGCGTTAGGCCTATACAAAGTTTGTGACCTTTTTACTAATTTGTCAATTCTCATTGTGTATACCTTGAAAAAAAAAAGTTTAAATTAGGTACTATTATTGCTTTGATCTATAGATGCATTATTTGACTAATTTATTATTACTAGGCCTACAGGGGTATTATTATTTTTAATTGTTTAAAATCTATTAATGTAGGCCTATGCAACACCAGGATGCTTGTTCTCTATATTCCTGTCAACAACACATATCATCCAATCCAATTTCAAATTCAACGTCAAGTGATCTATACAGACCAATTACAGGCCAGAATTGCCAAATAAGACGCCATATGCAATTTCGTGACAGTAATTCTCAATTATACACGGGTATATTAATCGCAAAATATCATTATAATAAATCAAAATCTTTAAAAATATTCTATATTATATAATACTAAGCAATGATTATATTGGACATATTCATCAGTAATACAGACTTTATGTGTAAATTTAATAACAATTATGCCGTTTGAATCATCCTCCAATGTACACATCTTTCGATCAGAGGACATTTTTATGCATCGGACTCGAGAGTCGTAAGATTTGAGAAAATAAAAAAAATTGTTGAGTAGCATCTGATCTAATTCATACTTGGCATAGATATTAAATATATAATTCTTAAAATTACAGGATGGTTTTTAAAATTTACAGAGCTTACAAAATATGTGTAAATGATGCTTTATTTCAAAGAAAAAGTTCCGTACACTGTAACACCGTGACCGATCAATGAAAAAAATATTTTTAAATAGCTCAAGTAAACTTTGACCTGTTTACTTTGTAAATAAGTTCAAAGGTTAGCGAATGCAACCAATAAACGATTTAATACGATTTTTTCTAATCTGGATGCAAGATGCAAAACCAAAACAATCAGCATCGGCGTCGCGACAACGAGAACAGTCCGTGACGTCACTCTTCTAACATACCTAACAAATATATGGAGCGCCAAAGGAGTTGCGAAAGCGCAAAATTTAATATGCGTTATCGCTACTCCATTCGCGTTCCATATATTTGTTGAAAACAAACCGCGACCGAAATGAAGCGCGACCGAAGTGAGGCGCGACCGAAACGAAGCGCGACCGAAATGATCTGTAGGCCTAGGCCTAGCCTAGTATGTATTCAGGCCGGTAGGGCTTGAGATGTTAATGTAACAACGGACCCTGGGCTAGGCAAATAAAATCTCCCGCAAAACTTGACGTACTGTATGTAGTTGCTGCGAAGCAGCCAATTCATATTCTTGACAGCAATTTGACCTCTGAAAGGTCATTGTTTGTCAAAAAACAAGGGCCTAAGACGACTGAAAAGCGGAGTTTCCTTATTTCGTTCTGCCGAGTAACTTTAGGCGACGTTTGTAGACTACCTACACGTACCAACGTCTGCATGTCGCGAAGCTTGAGTATTACTATTCAGCGTTTTTACTATATTTCGAGGTTTCCTATTTCTACGTTTAATCGGCCCATGTCTCAGCCACAATATTTTGAAGCAAATATTATTTACGAACCCAGTTAAACTTATTTACTAGCCTATTTCAGCGTGCTAATTATTACATTTAGGCGATGCTTGTTGTAGACTGGCATACACGGTACCAACGCTCGTTTTTACTATGTTTCTACGTCAGCTCGAGACGCTTGAGTATATTACTATTCAGTGTTTTTACTATAACCATGGGCGGTATAAATGTCAACTCGGCCAAAGTCTCGGCACAGTATTTTGAGGCCTATAGTATTTACGAACCCAGTTAAACTTATTTATGTCAACGTGCTAATTATTACATTTTAAAAAACGAAACTGTGGCCAAGTTGACTTGGTGCCGAGTTGACTCGAATTCGATCATGCTTATGTTGTGTGGTGCGTTGGCAGTCAACTCGCCTCTACAAACTCCCCCCTAGAAAATTCGCCGCCTTGAAAACTCCCCATAGTAAATCATCTCACCAAATAAAAAATCCTACTCTAGGCCTAGTAGACTAGCTAGGATGGTATAGGCCTAGCCTTGAAGGGACGAAGGTCCCAATAAAAAACAACGTCACTCCTTGATAGCATGATAAAATAACACGCTGGCTCGCACTTTGGCAACACTCTTTGACAGTCAACTCGCCCCTAGAAAACCCGCCCTTGGAAACTGTACACTTCCTAGACCATGCAGTCTTCAAAATAAAAATTGTAACCTTTGGTAATCAACTACATTTTCCACATACATAGAAATTTTTGAAACTTTATTAAAAAAAAACCTAAACCATAATTCACCACAGCCTATCTTTATGGCCTGACCTTAGATTATTCCTGTCTCTTATACACATCTAGATGTGTATAAGAGACAGGTCATGTCTCATATTATTTGTTATATTTTTATTATTCATTATTTTCACTTGACTCGCATAAATAATTTTGTTCGAAGAACATTTATATGCAGTTGTACTTCGCAGCACTTCACTTGCAATTTGCAATTTCTAGTGCTAGTAATACTCTGAACTAGCATTGTTTTAGTTAGGCCAAAAAAAAAAATACTTGTTTAGCGTCACACCCTCAGAAATTTTCAGGGGCCGGGGAGCAGATTTTTTTTAAATTTTTTTTTTTAACTTTTTTGCTGGCCTAGGCCGGCGTAGCCTAGGAGGCTAGGCCGGCTTAGCCTAATGTGTAGGCTTCTTAGGCCTAGAGATTTCAAAAACTGCATTGGTGCCAAGCCAAATTTTTTAGAAAGGCTATAACAGACACTAAATTTTACATAAAAGATTTGTTTGTACAATATTTATTTTAATAAGCATTGTGGTTCTGTAGGCTAACTGCTGCAGTGCTTGGCTAGGCCTAGGCCAGGTAGGCCTAGCCATACTTACTACTAGTTAGGGGTCTAGGCCTAGTTAGGTAGTACTTAGGCTAGGCCTAAAACATTGAAGCGTAGGTCGTAACCTATTATTTTTCTTCATAGTACTTTATTATCATATTTAAAACATTGTTTATTATCTAAAAAGAACCAAATAAAAACATGTATGCCTACGATCAAATTGTCCGCGATTTCTGTCAACAAGCACATGTGTGAGGAATCTATTTTTTTTCTGCAGAAAAAGAAAACACACTTGGTGGCACACTTCACATCTGGTTCTCTGTGCTGACTGTCTCTTATACACATCTAGATGTGTATAAGAGACAGCGGGTATATTAATCGCAAAATATCATT